AAACCATGGCAAACTGCAATATTCTGAAAAAAACGAAAGACACCAGCGAAGAGATTATACGATGGCGCAGGAGCGCCACGAAAAAGACCGAAACAGAATCAATAATAATCCAACTGAGCCATAAACATTCCTCGGCGGGGGCCATTTCGCCATACGTGACTGCATGATAGCAAATATTTATGACATCGAACAACGCGGCCTGTGTACTTACTAACATCAGCCCGGGGTGTAGATCATCTACCCTTCTCCATCCCCACTTAACGGTCCTCCCATCCAGCTAACGGTCCCAGTGCAACAGCAATGGGTGTCGACACAGGGGTGACGCCCCTGTCAGCCTGGCCCCGGTCATTCGATACCAAGAGGCCTAACGAGCCAGATAAGTGGTCATCCTAGAGCCGCACCACGTCAGCTAGCCTATAGAGTGGATGAAAATGGTTCAGTGACAGTGCAGCACATACAGGATTTGTGGGTTTGCAGGGGCAGCACCGTCATATCATAGCAGTCTGCCAAAGCTCCCAAAGAAAGCTTGACACACCTTGACAATCTGCCAATAGCTCCGGACAACCCGTCACTGGTGCAATGCAACATCGGCTTATGATGACCTCGACCTGTCAATGTTGTTTACGGTTATCAAGACAGGGTTATAATACCTGTCCATTGGGGGGCTACGCTGTATTAGGAAATCAAAATCAGCACAGGACTCCCCCCTACTCAAGGAAGATTCTTCAGAAATCCATTAAGACCACTAAACGTTCCTATCATGAGGATTAGGACCATGTCATCAGATGATTGCACATGAGGGGAAGTGCGCAATGTTCAAAGGTCCTTGAGAGGCCTACCTATTGGCTCATGAGACAGATTGCAGTACAGTGCACTGTAGGGGCCAGATGGCGAAGGTCAGGTGATACCATGAGTACATATAAATGTGGGAGAAGGATGTTGGGGCCGGGAGGGAGAATATCACATGAATACGACTGATCGAAAAAGCGTTAAAACACAACACGCAGGATTTCTGAGCACGCGTCACTGGACGAATCATCAATTTGAGGATGGATTAGAAATGCACCTGACGACCTCAGTGTTGCGCAAACAATTACACAATCACCTTGACGGATTGACCACGGTGCAACCAACATGGCAGCATGCGGCGCAGTAACGTCATGGGGAAGAAAGAAATGCATTGACGTTGTTTGTTGTTTATAACGGAAAAGCACACTGCTCTGTTTAATCTTCACGAAGCCGGATAATGCTCTAATAATGACAAGTGAAGTCAGTGCAGGGAGACAGCAGACCATCAGAAAAAGTGTTCATTACCCCCAACAGATAACGCTGTAACTGGTGTTATTGGTTGATTGGTGGTGTTATTGGTCTCAGAGCTGTAAGTTGAAACTCAAACTTCGAATGCTCACTCAATGAGTTTTGATTTGAGTGACTCTGGTTTGAGTGACTAAAACCGAAACCTCGTCCCTGAAACTCCACATATGGTCAGATATCCAGTAATGAGGCTCATGAAAGCGCGTGGGCATTGTGTAAAACCGAACAATCCGGCGGTGGGGCGACGAAACAGACCAGTTCCAGACCACAATCTTCAGAATTTTACTGACGTCACGGTGGAATACTGTCGCCAAAAGCCGTCACCGTGCAACGAATAAAAATTGGCTTCTATGAGCGAAACGTGCCATGACGGGAGATTAGAAAGTAGTCATACGGCTCCTGCTGGTCTGGCTGTCTGGGCCAGAGGTATTCAGCTCATCGCCCACAGCTCGGCTGACAGGGGAAGGAGGGGTGAGGTCCCCAGTTCAGAGCACCAAACGAGCAATATCGCCCAACGTACCGTAACCGTTACCACCCTAATCACAAAGCAACCGGTAACATCCATAAATATAACAAGCACTTTTAACAGTATAAATGCTGTAAATAAATGCATCTCTTGTAAGCATTATACAAGTGGATATAGTTCATAAGAAATTATCCGTTTTTACGTTGCTATCACCGCAATGTTACTCCCAGCAAGCCCAACGACACTTCCGATTTATCCGTGACTGTGTTCCCGCCTCGGGCATCCATCCCTTCACCGGGTATTCTCCGACTAGCTGTCCTGGCAAGGTGCCCACTGGCCACCATGGCCCCCGTTTGATGCTGGCTGACTTGTAAAAACTAAAAAGGTGTGATCACACTGTCGCAAGGCTCCTGAGACATACATATTGCTCCTAGCATACTTTCCGTCTGTGTCATTGCATGCTAAATATTTATCGCTCTCTACTGAAGCGTGTGCTGGACAACATTGCGTAACAACTAGAATAATGAACGCAATAAAAACAAGCATTTGCCATGTCTCTCAGCATTTTGGCAATATGAGGATTCACTGACCCTTATGACTAAAAGCATGCCCAATCTACTGTTAGACGGTGATTCTTTGAAAGGTGTCGCAGCAGATTCCCTTCTGCGTCATTAGATAAGATTCGGTCATAAGCCGTAAATTCTGCGGGGAAGTATTTGAAATGAACAGATAGACATCCGCGAGTGTGTCCAATACGGAAACGTAATAGCCACGAGTCCCTATTTTAGACCTTTATACAGGAGTGTTGCACCCACCAAGATTGAGGACGAAACAGACACATAATCCCACAACTCTTTATAGCGTTTCGTTCGGGGACGTGACCCCTGTGGGGGTGTGTCTCGCACGTCACCTGGGGGCCCACCACCGCCACCGGATACCGATAACTACCCCACCCCCACCCCCACCCACATCCCGTGCCTGTCATCAACCTCTCCGGTAGATAGTCCCATCCCCCCGATAGACCGATCTCGCGTCCGATCCCATCACCAATCTTCTATCAGAGGTTGCGGGGGATGGGGGGGGGGGGGCGCCATCAAACTGGCAGGATAATCGTAAACAGAGTCCCCGGATTAGTGGCGTCGGGTCGGGGATTAGGTCGGCCTTCGTGACACGTGACACGGCCAACGGCGGGGGGGATGGGGCAGGAGGAGACGGGGAACCTAGGCGGCGCCTGAGGGCCGGTTTGACGCTCGCTGCTCACTGCTCAGCACCAGCCTATGTTTAGATCAGCTTGGCATCACGGAAGCTTTCGGAATCACCAAACTTATTCAGGACACTGAAGTAATCGATCACCGAAGGCGCATAAATATAACTCAACATTACAAGACATCGTCACATACATTCGACGCGTTGTTGGTAAGTCTCTAACACCCACTGATAGAAAACAACGGGAGAAAACTGCAGCGCAGCCGCGTAGCAGTAACGCAGAAGCAGGAAATTCGAGCTACTGGATCAGGCTGGTTATCGGCACAACAAATGCAGTGGAGGCCTCCCGACTCCCAGTCGCCAGGAAATTAACCCAGGATAACCTGGATTCACACGCTTAACCCGCGAGTTGCTGGGGGGGGGGGGGGCGTTAAACGCCCCCACTTTTTTCGCCGGGCCATAGCATAAAAACGGCGCGCGGCAGGCGCGCCAAATTTTGGGTACCTGTAGGGAATTGATTGAAGTTTATTGTGACAAAGTTTCAAAAAAATCGGTCGGAAAATTTTTGAGATATCGAGGTTTTAGTGACGTCATGATTTCTGAGTTTTCGACCAAAAACGGCATATGTTCAAAAAATCATATAAAATCACAGAATAGACATATAGACATGCCGTAAACGCCATTAGACTGCCAATACCATGAACAATCAAATGGCTATCTCCGATTATTGATTATCGTTCCGCATTTTCCAAAATCTTGAACTGAATCTTGGCAATTTCTCGTGACTACTTCACGACCATGATACATGAAATTCTTAAGTTGAACTTTTTGAGCCAACCACGTACACAAATGATAAAATGAATGTCACCATCGTGTTTTACGCTCCAAATTACCCATAAAACATGTGTCACAGGCTGCGAATATCAGTTTTGATTTTCGGGGATATGTGCCTACCCGGTTGACCTGACCTTGACCCTGACCTATGCTTGACTGACCCCTATATGGAGCTGACACTCTGGTAGGCCTTACATGATGGATTGTGCACCGTTTTGACAGAGTTTATGACGAGAGGCGCCCATTGCGAAGCCCTGAAGTCCATGCTACTGAAAGCCCGATTTCAGGTGTTTGACCTGACCTTGACCCGACCTGTGACCTCAAAATTCAACTTAAAAGTACTCATCTGAAGAGTCTCGTCGCGTTCTTTCGTTTGCCGCCTCGTGCGTTTCGCTGCGCCTATTGGTTCTCGAGTTATCGGCTGGGGGCGTTTAACGCCCCCCCCCCCCCCCCCAGCAAACGGTGGGTGGCGAAATACCCCAGCAACTCCCGGGTTAAAACAGTTGCAGTACAACGACTCAATATTGTCATAGATACAAAGAGGAAAATGTGTGCGTTCCTATCAACGAAAAATATAGAGAACACCTATAATCATATGAGTCGCTGGAGAACTTGAATCTTCGCAGATCATATAACATACCCCATGCAAAAAAAAAAAAAAAAAAACTATACAGCACGAGATATTGAAAGTCATGACATTCAGAGATAATGTTGTAAACTTGCAAAACAAATATATGCCGCAAACCACGAAGCTCATATGAAGCAAAAAAAAAAAAAAAAATGAGCCGACAGATACATAAAAACTAAAAAAGATAAGGAGGTTCCGCAATCAGGCAGTGCTAACTTGAACCAGTACTTTGAAATTATCTGTAAAATGTTTTGCTGTTCACCATAAAAGGCCGTGTCGTAGAGGCGTGATGAAACCGCCCCAAATGTCTGCCATCCACAGAACAACAGCCGCGGATGTGATAGTGACTACCAGCTCAGCATGCATCAGCATTTACCACAGCTGTGATCAGCACCAGGTCAGGGCCAAGGCAGCTACTCAAGATGATACGCGATATAGACACTAATGCTTTCCCCGCGCCCCACCCACTCTCCAAGGGGGCGGGACAGGGAAAGAGGTGTGCAAGGCCGGCCGGCGGGTACAGGGCTCAGCCATCACTGGCGTTCTACTCACGCGTAGAAGACGCCGCCGATGACCATGCTGACGTTGGGTCCGATGACGGCGATGACGCTCGGTACGAACCAGTTGGAGAGCGAGAACACCGCATACACGATGGCGAGCGACGTGAAGCCATCGCCGGTGAAGCTGGAGTCCTCCTCCTTCACAGAGTCCAGGATCGTTTGCTGCGGGCGGGAGGAAAGATCGTGAGACAGAGCGTGACAGGAAGGTCATCAGATATGCCAGCTGGGCCAGCCGGTTCGCCACTTTGGATGACAGTCTTATGAAAAGAGCTATCAAAAATGGCTGGCTTATAAATGCTATATGTTGGTTCGATAGACAGGCAGACCTGTTCCAGGAAGAGACACAGTATTTATAATTAAAAAGGTTCTATTTGACCTCAACCTGACAGTCCAAGGAAAGCACGCTTGTCACACCCCAAAGGCGTTGATTTGTTTCATTTCACGGATTAATAGTTAGCCACAAAAGCACGAGATTTCGACAGTCTTATGTTTAATTTCAAGTAAAGCATATTTGCCAATCTGAATTTGGCGTGAGCGGGATTTTTACTTCTTACCCATTCGGTAGACGGCATTCTCTTTAATATAATTGGTAGAAGTATAAAATAGATTTCGTAGAACATATCAGAAACATTACACATTTGGTAGAGATCGTGAACATTTCATTTAGATGTAACGCTTCACATCAGCATAGCTAAAGCCACGCCTGCTCTGATGCATGGTAAGGGCAATGGATAACCCAACACATCGATGTGCTCTCCTCAACAAATCATCTGAGTCCATATCGGACGCTGGTAACGAGAAAATACCGCCTAGCGCAAATCACCTAAGGTCATCATTTGTGAAGTTCTGCGCTCTATGTGAGGCCTGCTATGAACTGAAGCCGCTTGTAGCGCCTGGAGCTGTCGACGATGCCGTCCGTGCTGCGCTCATGGCGGCAATGGATCCAGCCCGTGGTGATGCTGCTGTACGGCATCATCCTGGTGGTGTGTCTGCCTGTGCTGGTCGTCTACATGGAACATGCCGGCACCCGCATCAAGTTCGAAGCGTGGCTCATTGGTTGTGTCATGGCGTTCCTCACCTTGCCGGTATCTCTTTGGGAGATCACCATGCACTTGGTCAACTACACCAAGCCGCAACTGCAGAAGCACATCATCCGTATCCTCTGGATGGTGCCCATATACTCGCTCAACGCCTGGATGGGCCTCACCTTCCCGCATTACACCATCTACTTTGACCTCTGCCGCGAGTGTTACGAGGCGTATGTCATCTACAACTTCATGATGTTCCTGATGACGACGCTGAACGAGCTGATGGACCTGGAGACGGTGCTGGCCACGCGCACACAGGTGGTACACTCGTGTCCGTTCTGCTGGCTACGCCCATGGCGGATGGGTCGCGAGCTGGTGCAGCGATGCCGACACTCCATCCTCCAGTACACCGTGGTGAGGCCCATCACATCCATAGTGGCCTTCGTGGCCAGTTTAGCCGGAGTGTACGGGGAGGGAACGTTCCTCCCAGATAGACTATTCCTCTACGTGTCAGTAGTGAACAACATCAGCCAGCTGATAGCCATGTACGCATTAGTCCTCTTCTACCGCGCCACCAAGGAGTTTCTGCGACCGTACCGGCCGCTCGCCAAGTTCCTCGTCATCAAGTGCGTCGTGTTCTTCTCCTTCTTCCAGGAGTTCATCATCAGCGTGCTGGTGTACGCCGGCGTCATCTCCTCCTGGTTCGGCGTCATGGACGCCAGCGACGTCCGAGTCATCTCTCAGAGCATCCAGAACTTCCTCATCTGCATCGAGATGCTGGCAGCGGCGCTGGCGCACATGTACGCCTTCAGTCACATGCCGTACCGCGACCCGGGGCAGTACCAAGGTGACTGCTGCGCAGCCTTCCGCAGCATGTGGGATGTCACAGACGTGGGGCACGACGTCAAGGAGCATCTGAGCGTGGTGGGCAGCTCTGTGGCGCGGAGACTCTCCCGGAAGAGCACCCAGGCGGCCGGCGAGCGGGCGCCGCTGCTCACGGTGCCTGGAGACGGGAGGGCCGAGCCGGCCCCGCGTCCCCCCGCGACCGCACGGAGGAGCGACCAGTGACTGACGCTTGACCTCAAACGGCGGATACATCCCTCGGCCGGATAGCACAGCGACCAGTGACAGGTATGTGGTGTTTTTGACGCATTGGGTAATGGCTGATGGTGAATCCCTTACTACAAACGTACTACAAATGTTTCTCCGCCAGTCCTTCACAGCCGACTGTATTCTCCATCGGCCATCGGGCATAGTGCTTTGAATGAGTGATACTGGAGTGCATTGTGGACGCAATGGAGATAACGCAAGCCAGCTTCCTATGTAAAAATGAGTGGTGTAGCTCAGCAGTCATAAATGAATCGCCTCATTCGCAATTAAGTGTTTGACTAGTTTTGAACATTTCTAGTCATGATATAACCCATTAAAATCAATGGTCCTCCTCCTATTCGTACTCTCATGATGAATGAATGTCAAAAGAAAAGGCCAGAAATAGTAGAAGAGCTCATAGTCTAGGTTTATACACCCGATTACCTCGAGAATTAAGGGCGATAGATGGACGAAAAAATCGACAGCTCTCGGAGAGTGCGCCAAAGAACACTTGCCAGTTAGGGCTTATTTCAGTATCCCAGTGCTGCATTTCGGTTATTGTAGGCAAGCAAAGGAAAAAGTCCATGAAAATGTCTTTCCTGGACGCCGTTCGCGCAGCGCAGATTAAATGCCAAATATTGGGAGAAATAACTGAAATTTCAAAGCACTTGGTGGACTCAGCATGTGCTATGTTTCACGGACAGGTTTTACCGGTGAGTGTGACCACTAACAATCCAATCACCCAAAAATTTACGATGGTATAGTCCGTTTTTCTTAAGTTTGCCCCTCACTGTAAACGTCTCTTTGAACACAGCACGAGAATTGCTAGCTGAATTACTGAGAAAACTGGTAAGCGCACATTGTATTGTAGATATGAATAATATTTTCAAAAATAAGTTTTGAACATCGACGATTTAACGTTATGTTAAGCGCCGTGCAATTTATTTATTAGTTCAGACATAAGTCCTGAGAAGTCGTCTATCCCTGTGAGGCTGTAGGTATTGGCAGATACGATTTACGAGTCTGTGAAATAGTAAATAAATTTGATGAAATTGATCGTCTGTGAAATCTGGTTAAATCAGTGTGCGCCAACCAGTTTTCTCAGTAATTCAGCTAGCAATTCTCGTGCTATGTTCAAAAAGACGTTTACAGTGAAGGTCAAACTTAAAAAAAAACGAACTATAGTAGCTGTTGAAGACGCTCGGTGACATTCACTACATATAAAACGTGGATGGCAGGGTAGACAACTGTTTTTGCAAAGGCGAAACAAAGGCCAAAGCAAAACAAGTTAAAGGGACCCTCCCACCTTCAAAAAAGTTAATGAATTGGCACGAAAGTGATGGCGCTCGGTTCAGAAAGAGCGAAAACGAATATCTACCAAATTTCATCGAAAAATATTCACCGGTTTTCAAGATATTAGACTTTTACTTTTGTTTACTTTTTGGGATCTCCGCTGTTCCTAGCGACTTTATTTGAAAGTGCGGCATTTGTTGCGCGCAAAGCAGCATATACCACCGCGTGCTACCAAACGTTTTAGTAAAAGATTTAAAAATCGTTAGATCTCCGCTGACGTCACAAATTCTAAGGGGGCATACCAATGCACTAGCCCCTTAGAATCCGAAAACTGCAAGTTTGAAATTCCATATCTCCGAATTAAAGCATTTGTCGATGTTGTGAGTGCCCAAACCGGTATTTGCAGGCCATGGCCACCAATTTGGCTATCTCAACTCAAAACTAATGTTAAGGTGGGAGTGTCCCTTTAACAAGGCGATACAGGGCGGTACTTTCGAAACGGTCATTGTTTTACAGCTATAAAAGAAGTTGATTCTGGGAAATTCTGGTCGAAAAGTTAGCAACCTGTAACCATTATTACTGAAATAATGAGGGGCCTCAAGTGCGGTGCGATCGATGTTTGCGGTTTTCGGAAGTTGGACCCTGTATGAGTCAGCTAACTTCATGATCCATTGTAAAACACAATCCTTTAATCCAGGTATATAATACCCGTTTCAAAAAGCTTCATTTTTACATTCAAATCCGTTGTAGCATTCCTTTGGTTATATCCAAAATGATAATCAACTCAGTTACATTAAAAACCTGCAACAAGTCCCTCTTCGCCTCCCTTCGTGCATACAGAAAGGTCACATCTGGTTCTATTGGCGCGCGACTTTCCCTTTCACCGTTCCTCCTATACCCTGTCAGATCATCCCCCGATAGCAGAACCCACCACCGTCCCGCTGCGGGCGCGTCTACCGCGAACCCATCGCCTTATGCATGCGGCCTGGTTCCTGAGATCGCCCGGTACCCGCTCCGTCTGACCGGTCAGCAACAACCAATGCAGCTCGGCTGGTCATTTTACCCCGCGCCGGCACAGGAAAACGGTCCGAGCGGGGCGCCGCGGCGGCCGCACTGTCCTGACGGGCACCCGAGGACGGGCCAGGGCCGGCCGGTGCCGAGCGGGGAAGCGCGCCCGTTTTCCGTGTCGGCGTCAGTGCTGGAGTGACGGGGCTGGGGTGCACAGGGGTGCACGGTGGCGTCCGTGAGTCGAGTCGACCGACTGCCATACTACACCGGAGTGTGTGCAGTGCTAGAGACCGGGGATACGCCCAAGTGCGCTTTCTGAAAGCCAGAAACGCCCATCGGACCGACCCTGCAACAGTGACCCGACAGACGCCGTCAGCGAGTGGAAGACGGGTCGTGACACTCTGACATTTAAAACACCTAGCCCGACTGACCAGAACTAGGAGCCAGTCTGTCCAGAGTTCAGTCAACCAACTAAACGAGGTGTTTAGACAGGTACGGTCACCGGCTTCTCCAGGCGCAATAAACCCTTCTGACGGACCAGGGCGGTCAAGACGAGGCAGTCCAACCAGTCAGCTCGCCCGGACAAGTCGTGACGTCACCAAGTCGTGACGTGACGTACCGCGCCGTGACGGTGTGAACTCTGAGGTCATCCAGTCAACAGCAGCGCACGACGTCGCCCCCGTGCTCGACCTTGGAGGCAGTCGGACGGGGTCGGTCAGCCCCATCCCCCTCACCGCTGGCGTCGTGCCGTCGTGACGCGCCGGACACGTGATACTGCTCGTGTAAACCACACGGGGGCACGTGACCGAGCAGCGCGCCGCAGCGGGCAAGGCGACATTGCTGACCAGTGGCTCCGGAGCCGGCCGGCGCCGTGCTGCAAGACGTACCCGGCCGTACTCCAAGGCGTACCCGGCCGTGCTCCAAGGCGTACCCGCCGTGAACGGCGTACCGGCACGGCCGTACTCGTTACGTCAGCGTTATTGTGTGGTTGGCCGGCGAGGCAGACGCTATCAGTACGCCGGCGATAGCCACGCGATAGCGGCGCCCCACCGCGACGAAACTGGCGCGGCGCCCACCAAGCCGGGCGTGCCAGTTAGTGTAACCGTGAGAACATCCCGTGAAAAACAGAGTGACCACGTGTGGAAACTAGGCGTGTCCAGTGGTGAGCGACTAGCGGAAGTATTTCAGTGGGAGCACGTCGACCGCTCGGTCGTTTGGACGCCCGTCAGTCATGTCGTGTTGCTGTGGGGGCGAGCCGGCGGCGCGGCGACCGGTGCGGCGAGGTCGGGGTTGCACCGACCTGCCCTGCCTGCTGGTGTTTCTAGTGCTCTGGTGCGCGCTCGTGTTTGTGGCTGCGCTAGGGTTCGCCTACGGCCGGCCGGCGCTGCTGGCTGGAAGCTATGACAGTTTTGGAAATGTGTGCGGGGCAGAGAACGAAGCTCTAGTGGATGTACCGCTGTCAGGCCGAGATATGCGTGAACTGCCGCTGCTCTTCATCCAGGACGCAGCTAGACCGGAGGAAGGACTAGCTCTCTGTGTCAGTGAGTGTCCCGCCGAACAGCTCGACACGATGGCCGATATAAACGAGTTTGCCGCCGAGACCGGCAGCCAGCTGTGCCGCTACGACTTCGACAAGGCCGCCTACAACTTCAGCGGCCTGGAGGAGGTGGCCGGCGGCCCGGTGTTCCCCGGCTGCCCGCCGCTACCCGTGCCGGCCACTGTAGCCGTCCAGCGCCGCTGTGTGCCGGCTCCAGGCTCCGACATACCCGTGGAGAGCGTCTACGATCAGTTCGCGGCGCTCAACACCGTCGGCGGCATGGCCAGGCAGGTGGCCGCCGACGTGTACGCAGCCTGGCAGCAGATTGCCTGGCTGACGGGGGCGGCAGTGCTGCTGTCTCTCCTGATGGTCAGCCTGCTACACTGGGTGACGCGAGCCGCGGGTCTGTTGCTGACACTCACAGCGGCTGCCGCCCTGCTCACTGGCACGGGTCTCCTCTGGTGGACGTACGCCTCACTCAAACTCGACCTGGACCACACACCGCCGGAGAGAATCCTGCTCGCGGCCGCGCTCAACGAGACAGCGCTGCTGGTGGGAGCCATAGCTGCCAGCATAGCCACGCCGCTGCTGCTGCTGGCAATCGGCTGTGTCTGGCGCCAGCTGCGGCTGGTAGCGGGTCTGTTCTCCGAGACAGCTGCAGCACTGCGAGCCATGCCGAGTCTGCTCTTCCTGCCGCTCCTCGCCGCAGCCACCGAGGCTGCTCTCCTCGGCTTCTCAGCGTTGATTCTGATCGAGCTGGGCTCAGCGAGCAGCGAGCAGCCTCCGTACCCCGCCGCCGGCGAGCCGGAGCGACTGCTGCTGCTCTCTCCAGAGCGCTGGGTCCAGTACGTGTGGTGGATGGTGCCGCTGTTGGCCATCTGGACGGCAGAGTTCATCCTGGCCTGCCAGTGGCTGGTGTCAGCCGGAGCCGTGTGCCGCTGGTACTTCTCTCGGAGCGGAGCGAGGCCCACCTGCCCCGTGGCTGCCTCACTGGGAACCCTCATCTGCCACCATCTGGGCACGGCCGCCCTCGGCTCATTCCTCGTCTCTCTACTGCGGCTGCCGCGCGTCGCACTCGCCTGGTTCTGTCACCGCAACTCACCCGACGCTGACGACTCCGGCTGCTGCTGCTGCTGCTCGTGCTGCCGCTGCTTCAGTGACGCCTCGTGCGCAGGGGCCTGCGCCTGCTGTCTGGGCTGCTGGGAGAGCTGCCTGCGCTGTGTCACACGTAATGCCTACGCCGTCACCGCTGTAGACGGTAGAAGCTTCTGCAGCGCTGCTAGCGAGGCTCTGGCGACGATCGCTAGGCACGGCGGCGCGGCGGCGGCGGTGGCAGCCGCCGGTGACCTGGCGCTCTTCTGCGGCCGGCTGGTGGTGACGGCAGTCGTGGCCGGGGCCGCAGTCATCTGGCTACGAACGGACCCGCAGCTGCAGCTGTACGCGGCCCCATGCGTGGTGGCCGCGCTGGCTGCCTACGTGGCTGCCGACTGCGTGTTCGGAGCGTTTGAGTCCGCACTGGACACGCTGTTTCTCTGCTACTGCCAGGACCTGGAGGGCGGCAACGTCAGCTCCGACGAAGAAGGACCCGACGGCGGCATGTTCGCGCCGCGATCTCTGGCTCGCCTGATGGAGAGTCTCGGAACAGGACCGCCCGAGGGGACAGACGTCAAACCTCCACCGCCGTACCTCCTGCCCGACCCGGTCCTGCGCCGGTCGTCAGAAAACGGTGGACGGCCCGCCGAGATGATCCGCCTTCTCGCCGAGCCAGAGGTTCGGATGCGTCAGCCGGCGCGTCTTCTACCCCAGGCGGACGTCACGCTGTCGCAGCCGGACGTGCGACTGGCACAGCACGGCTTCCGCGAGACTCAGCCGCTCGTGCGCCGGACGCTGTCCGAGCGAGAGGTGCGCCGACCGCGAGACATCGAGTTCCGTCGGCCGCGCTCTCATCACGACGGACACCGACCTCCGCCCATAGAGACGGCCATGTAGACCGACCCAAGACGGTTAAAAGCTTGAAGAACTTCATAAAACTCGCATGGAGCTTCGGCCAGCCGCCAGGCTCTGCTAGGAGCCATCCACACCGCGGCCGCGGCCGGTCATACCAGCTCAGACTCTTCTCAGAATATCGCCAAGATCTCACACGACGCTGGCTGAATATCACTTATACAAGACGGGCAGCAGAACGGTCCTGGTTCTAAATCGGCGGACGCACTGTCCTGGCCAAATACAGACAGGACGCTCGGTAACCAAATCAATGGAACGCACCGAGTTAGGTGTTGAATAATGGAAGAGACCGGCATGACAGCGCCGAGAATAGTTTGCAATGGCGTTTGCACAACTCGATAAAAGACGAACGTCCAGCGTGCGTCACCAAGGGCACGTGGGTCGGACAGACCCGCAGGCCTGCCGCGGGGTCAGGACTGTGATGGTGATACAGAAACTGCCAGAACGGGTGAGCAAAAGACGGTATCGACAGACAGGAAAACTCAGTGCCGGTAGCAAAAACGTTAAAAAACAGAGACCCGAAAGAACCAGCCAGTGATACCAGTGCAGTGTCCAAGTTGGCGTATCAGTGGATTAGACGAGTGTTCGAGCTGGGCACTAGTAGATCCATTTACCACGTGGCGCCATAAATTAGGTGAATACAAGTCAGTGCGACTCCTCAAACTAGTGTCATCAAGGACTCAAGAACCCGACCGACCGGGCTGAGCGGCCGGCCGGTCCGCCTCAGAGGTCAGGGCTGTGCCGCCGCAGTGATGACGTACCGATCGCTGCCCTGGCCACCAGTCGGTTGCACAACTCGTACGTGCCATGCGGTGCCGGTTCCAACACAGCGCCCCTCCCTCTGCGGTGCCGGTTCGAACACAGCGGCCCCTCCCTCCCCCCACTCAGTGGGAGGAGGGAGAGGGGGATGTGGGGAGGAGCGTAGCGAACGGTCTGATGTACGTTTAAACGTCATTCAGGTCGTTCAGGCGTGAGCAGACGCGATAGAGCCTGGTAATGGACTGAGTAGGTGACAGCTAAGCTCCATGTGAGAGGGGGAGCATTTCACCTAGAGAGAGCATTTCACCTAGTGTGCGGCTAGAATGGGGGAGGGGGGGTGTCGATCGATGGCTGTCCCATGCGATTTGAGAGCGGTGAACCGCTAATGACGCTGCGTATGTATGTGAGGTGGTTAGTGTTATATTGTGTTAGCGAATTTTGGTAATGTTCATTGTTGGCAGTCCCTCACAAGAAATACAACGTTACAATGTGACTATCGTGTTTTACTTTAATGCAAAAATTCGGTAGAAACAATAATAAAGGCAGTCACGAAGCAAAGCTCCTATTCATTATACAAACAAAAAGGGAGCCGGGACAACAAAACGCTCGGCAGGACACATGACTACAAATGTACAGGACCTACAAAGAAGAACCCGGCGAGCCAGAGACAAAGACTTTCAGAGCCACGAAGCTAAGAGCTGGAAAGACCGACCCCTAGAGCCACTGCTCATATCACTTCCAAAGCAACCCTCATGCTTGTAGAAAGACACGGGCTATGGGAGCGGTAATGACCCTAGTCGAAAGACACAGGCCCTTGGCACGACAGTGCGGTGAGGGAATGATATAGGTCTCTATCAATATACATGGGGACCAGTAACAGGGCGAGGGAACGGAGCCGGTCGCAGCCGTGCAATAAGGGGACGACGCCGGGCGCCGGGCGCCGGGACAGGAAAACTGAACCACCCAGTCGCGTCGGTAACGGCCCAGCCGGCACGCGATGGACCGTCACCTTTGGCGAATCTGCCGCCTCGCCCGCCTATACAGCCGCCGCTCATGGGGAAAGTCGCCAGACCGGCCCGGTAGGGATGACGTGGCACCCATTCGGCCGAGGGTTTGTATCAAAGGCTAGACCAGTCCAAAACGGGTCACAAATAACCGGTGCTGGTTTAAAACTTGGGAATACAGCAGCACCAAATGCGACAGGCAGGCGCCATTGAAAGGTCTAGGAAGAAAATAAAGCCACAAACTCCATCTTCGATATTATCTAAGTCGTAAGGTAGCGTCCATCAGATTTCAAATGATTCATGAGCTGCCACTCCCAACGCGTTAAATATGCACATCGTAAGTTGGTATTCATTAAGAAATTTACCCACATCATCATGTACGTATCTCTTTTTACTCTAACCACTGGGTAAGCATGAATGATATAAAAAAAGTTACCCTCAGTTCCGCACTCCTTTAGGATGGGCTTCTATCCTGCAATAGGAGTAGACCGGGGTAAATTTTGCGCGATAGGATGATTTTGGTCCAAAAGTAAGCAAGTAAAGTAAGTAGGTAGCCGTATAAAGGTGTTGGCAAACCATCGCTAGCCGAGGGGGGCGGGTGGTGCCCCCCTCCCCCTGCTCCTTTTTAGCGATAGCTCGGAACACGCTAGCGATAGAGCTAAAACTTGGCATACCTGATCTTCGATTCAAGCCGGATCTTGTGACACCAACCGTATTTTTAGGTCCGGTCAGGTCACCAATCTTTGAAGTCATAAGTGAACCTCTACACGGTCCTAAAATGTCGCAACTTCACAACGCCCTCAGTGCCAGCTCTGGCTCTAGGAGCTTTCACAGAGATGAAACTTAAGGCTGAAACAGACTCTTTCCGCGTTCAGGAAATCGCATGCGAGAGCCTATTCAAATACATGGAAGCACGCTCGCATCAATCGCACACACCTCCCGCAAGCGATTGATGCGAGAAGAATTATAATGTAGGTATTTGAATAGGCTCTCGCATGCGATTTCCTGAACGCGGAAAGAGTCTGTTTCAGCCTTTACAGGACCTAAGTAGTATCCTTCAGAGGTCTCGCAACTTGTACATTTCGAATTTGTCCCAAGGCTCAGCTAGGTCAGATCGGTTACGTAACCCCATCATTAGTCAATGGGGGAAATATAGAAATTGTTATTTTGGCACCGGGAAAGATCTAAAAACTACCTCAAACACAAGAAATCGTAATTGCATGCACTCTTTGCACTCATGCACTCCGATGCTTCACTTTTGGATCGTTAAAGGTAGACTGCCACCTTTTTTCCACAAAACGGTTTTCACTAGAGCTGAGCCACCTATGTCCCAGACTGAAGTCGGTTTTCCGAAATTCGAACCCGTTTGCGAGAAATCGGAGACCAAAGTTCAGTTTGATGCCATTTTTTTAGTCCAAGAAAACCGACATCTCTACTGTTTATCGATAACTTTGAAACATGAATTTTCTTATCTTTTGGTAAATATATGCCAAAACTTTTATTGTTTCGAGATCAGAGAAGAATTTTGGAGTGTCAAAATAAAAGTTAAACTTATATATTCAGTAGTTCATTTTTTCCAAAAAAGTGTGGGAAATGGGGTTTAACATGGGCCAGACCCATTCCAAATGAGCCATGATTTTTTTTAATGTTTTACGAACTTAAATGCAAAATAAATTAAACGTGGCCAATTTCTCATGAAATCATATATTAGTAAATTATAAAATACCTTACTTTTTCAAATAAAATGTAATAATCTTATGACCTTGAAGTCTAGTGATGTGTAAACATTGTCGCTAGACATTAACCGATTGATAATTGTATGAAAATCGACAATTTTTTCGCGATTCACGTGATGATACTTTGTCAGGTGAATTCTAAAATTTTGTTTTGTCCAGGGAATAAATCATAGGCCGATCTGAGAAAACTTTTTGAAGGTGGCAGTCTTCCTTTAACCTTCCGTGAAATCGTTTATGGCGTCACTACGTCCTAAGCGTTTTTCGTCAATAACTCCCCGTCAAATGGAGCTAGCGAGTCGGGAAAGCCGCCAATGGACTCGGGAAGACCTCCCCAAAAGAGTGACATGAGAATGGATGAAAATGGCACCATTCGAATTACTGGGAGTCATTTATCAGCCGTTACAAATAATGCGACCTCAGGTGACCTCGGTGACCTTGGGAGTCACCTTCAGGTGTTCGTGAATTGCAATAATCCTATCACTAAGCAGCTTCCAAACCGATCGAGACGAAAACGTCACCAGTCGATGCGCCTGATGGGACTCCATAGTTCATCAGCCGCTTCGAATATGCCAACCTCAGGTGACCTTGACATGTTAGCTTAGCATTTTGACCTATAACAGCCATCATATAGCTCAGGAACTTGACCCTTGGAAGTCACCGAGATCACATGAGGTCACCATATTCGAAACGGCTGCTTGCTAGCTGAAATCACATACGACAAATCGACCGATTGCACTTTCGTCTCGGTCGGCCCGGTAGTTGCTGACTTTCATATGATGGGCTCCATAGGTGAGAACATAAAGTTGACCTCTCAAGGTCACCGAGGTCACCCGTGGTCACGATATTCAAAACAGCTGATGATCAAAACAGCTGATGACATTATTGCACATGGGGAATCAACTGATGTTGTTTCGTTTCGATCACACCAACTGTCGGCCCATGGGATTTTCCCGTGATACTCCTGCAAAAGCTTTAAATAATTTGTAATAAGTGGAGCAAGTAAAAGTCGTGTTGACGCCAAAGAATCCCGCGCCGTGTTGGAGCAGGTGGCCTGAGCTTTCCGTGACGTGCTGGGGGGGGGGACGTTTTCATGACCCCCCCCCCCCCGTCTAACTCGGTACCTGGGCCACGTTGCGACACGCGGTAATCGGCATGGGAAAAAAGTCAAAAATAATGAAGGAACTACATCAATCATGTTTTTAGATCGAGTAAAAGGTCAAATCACCATAGGTCATCAAAGGTCAAATTTTGTCTATTTCAATAATTTGCAAAACACCGACGCATAACTCGGCAACCAATAGAGTTACAGCGCCGCGGAAAAACGCATTCGATAGCTCTTTGAAAGGCTTTCAGAGCATTGTCCTCAGATTTGACCTCAGGTCAACGGTTTAGCCTCCAGAGGGCAATAGCTCTAAAAATAGCCGTTTTTACTAAAAATGTTTTTTTTTCGGTAATAACTTTTGACTCAAGAGAGCCACAACATTAATATTGCCAGCATCGGGTTCCTCTCGTCAAGACGCGTCGAATGAACTATAATTGACCTTGAAAGGTCATTTTGAAAATTTCACCTCGGGTCAAGGTCATGACCTGACCGGAAAGGGTCATGCTTCATAACAGTCGATCCTATCGTCGAGCTGAACACATCTGACACATCTGACACACTGAAAGCCTTTCACACAGCTGAACACATGTTTTCACCGCTCTAGCACGTCTCTATCAAAAGTTATAGTAAAAAAGCTGCTGGTGACCTTCCGTGACCTGATATGACCCCAGGGGCACACAGAGGGATCATATCATGGGTGCAATTTTCCTATTTAGTGTGTCATTTTTTACCTATCAATCGATGCTTGAGGTTATTTAGAACGACATTTGTTTAACCCTATTACTGGTGTGTGTGTGTGTGGGGGGGGAGGGGGGATTGTGTCAAACTTTTGAGTTTCTAGCTTGTGCAGAGGCGTCTTCAGGACGAGTTTCTCGGGGGTAGTTTTGGTCCAGCTTTGACTGTTCCGACATTTGGCGCTAAGTAGCGACTTACTTGGGTTTGTACTGGTGATCAGTGGCACCACCCGTCATATGTATGCACATAAAGACTATGCAACGTCATTTTACAATGAAAATATTGGAATAGGCGGATCCAGGTACCTCAAAAAGGGGGTAATATCAATGTACTGCCCCTCCCCCCGTCTTAGAGTGCCTAAATCCGTCTATGCTTAACGAAAACGTGTATTTTGTGCTCACGTTGCATATTTTACATGACATGATCATCCCAAGTTAGCTTACCTGAATCCACCTACATATGATTTTTTAAATATCCAAAATACCGGAATATATATGAAGGCCCAGTTCATGAAGAAGGCCTCCCCAAAGTTTCATCAAATTCGGTAAAAAAAGATAGAAGTTATAGCATTTTTAGTGATGAGGTGTAAACGCAATTTTTTTGTAAAATTTTTGATTCCAGGACCCCCATTTTTGAACTTTTTTACCTTTAATAGTCAATCTGAAACTTCACAATGAGAGCAATCGAATGGCGTTTGTCCCATTAACCCGCGCCGGGCCGGTGCTCCGCGACTTCCGCGACGGGCCGGGGGGGGGGGGTGTTTCCCCCTTCCACTGAAAGAAAAGTACACCTTGGTAATTTGAATTTGATTATTATACACCGCCATTACACCGAAATCAAGAATATTTATACCCTTGTTCGACGTATATGGAGAATAAAATAATGCTCCGGTGCGAATGTACTCTATCACGAGCGT